GCGCAGCACAACCAGAGAGCATCAGGGATCAACACGCTCGGCGCAATACCTATTGCGCCTGGCGTGAGGGAAGGCAGAGACCTCACAAGATCTCACACGCCTGGCGTACGAACCCGCGCGCAGTGTATGCAGATACTTTCTCCAAGTCTCACGCTCGACGCAATATATATTGCGCCCAGCGCCACCTCTAGTAGAGACTCCCATGGAGTCTCCACGCCCGGCGAGACAAAGCCAAGCCCGGCGCCACACCAGAACCTCAAAACTTGAGTCATCCACGGATATCGCGCCCGGCGCGGTTCCACCACGCCTAGCGAGGGGGATCCAGAGACTCACATCCTCAAGCCCGCCCGGCACATTCACCATTGCGCCCGGCGTGCTTGCCTAAATGAAGTCTCTGATGGTCACGCGCCCAGCGCGAAGAACTACGCCTGGCGTGATACCCAGCAGCAACTCTCAAACTTTCGAAAATCTCATCAAAACCTGCAAAATAACCAGGAAAACCCACATGCAATCGGCCCAAAGTACTACATTTCCATCAATCATCACTAAAAACCTCTCATTTCCAACATGCAACCATAGAATCAAGAAAACCCAAATTTTTGAAATGAAACCCCAAACTCCCAAAAATCCATTTTTAGCAATTCACCACCAAGAATCAACAACCATTAATCAGAAATTGAGTTCCTTGAACTCGTTTGCAACCAAAAATCCACAAGAACTAGCTTCCCTTACCTTGGGCAAAGATTCCGAGCTTCGGGGCAGCGAAAAGAGAGGAAATGGAGAAGAAAACGAGATGACTCCGGTTCAGCTAGCTCCACCTACTCTATGATCAGCACCTTCCACTACAAGTCCACCACAGAGAATCAGAAATTTGAAAGGAATGTGGAGAAAAGAGAGCAAGAGTAGAGGGTGAGGGTTCGGGGAAGAGTAAAGGAAGAATAAAGGAAAGTGGGTCTTACATGAACTAAAAACATATTTAAGTTATATTTATATTTATATAATGAAAATGTATAAATATAGAAAATTTTGTATGAACGTTAATTCTTTATTTTTTTATGATGTACAAATATAAGAAGATAATAAATACAAGTACTAGCTGTATGGTGGATATTTATGACAGGTTGATTTTACCTGATTTCTTTAATTATAAGAAAATAAAAAGCTCAAGTTGAACTGAATTGGTCATTTATTTTAAACCATAATTATACAAGTCAGAAATCTTAAATTTTGTACCAGTTTAACCATTGTTATTGATTATACACTTATTTATTTGACAAATGATTTAACAAAGTTTTAACATCATACTGAATTCAATTCTCAATGTCGAAATTCTCAAAATGGTGTATGGAGATACTAAACATCATGTTGTGGGATTTCTTTCTCCAAAACAAATTATAATAACTTCGGTTGAGATAAAAATAAAAATAAATAAATAAACTAGTTACATAGATCAAAAGATCGGTTCGTTTGTTTTGAGCAAAAGAATTTCTGTACGATAATTGTTAGTGATGTTGCATTAATATCAATAATATGCTTTCTTGATTTCTTTTTTATTTGACGTTTAATTTTTTATTATTTTAATTGTCATTTTATAATATTAGTTAAGTGCTAAATATATTTTTTCTATTATATTAGTAACTATTTATTGTAAAATAAAAAATAAAAAATAAATATGAATAAGAGCGAATTTAACAATATGAAAGAGAAATAATATATTAGAAAATTATATAATATTAATTTTTTGAAATTTAAAATATTAATTACATTCTTAATACTCTTTAAAAAAAACTTTATACATCAAATAAAAATAAATTGAAAGGAATATTTAGACCTGATCATCTCATGAACTAGTTTTTAGAGAATTAAACTCAAACTTTTAAATAACATGATAACTTATTATATATAGTTACTAGATTTAACTGCACTTTTTACTCGTTAAATTTGATGATTTTGTGAATTTTGTCACATAATTTTTTTAATTGTACATTTTATCACTTAACTTTTACATTTTCTCTTATTTTGTTACTTTATTAATTAATTGTTTGTCTTCATTAAATGACCAATAACGTGAAACATTAATTGTTGACGTATCATCATGTTGTGCCACATCAATATTTATATGTTACATTAAATGAAATATTTAATTTTTAAATGAAAATGTGATGGATGTGCGCTAATCATTATTTTTTTCATATATCATGAGAAATGTTAAAAACACAGTCTTTGATATATTATTTTGAATACATTCTTTTTTATTTGTTGAAATTTATTAAAAACATAAAGTTGGCACGTCTAACAATTTATTTAATATTTTTCTATCTAAATTTTATGATTTTCAATAAATTCTAACAAATAAGAAAGAATGCATGTAGTAACCTAATTTTGTAAAAAAAAATATTAAAATTTGAAAGAAAAAATAGTAATAATTAAAAAGGTTTAAAAAATAATTAGAAAAGATAAATAACAAGTGAGATGTGTGTACACTCTTGTCTAAGTAAATAACTTGGCAAGAAGAGAGAAAATTTATTAGTTTTTATGTTAAACAACATAAATTTACAATATCATATATTTTGTTATAGTTATTTGTTTAAGTGTTATTTGCATAATTGGAAAAGCTTAATAATAGTTTAAAATTGTTGTCTTTAGAATGAAAACCAAAATCTATTTCCATCTTAATGAAAATCAATCACAAAGTAAGTGATTTGTTAAATAAATGTTAAAATCTCACTCTATTTTCCTTTCAACTAAAAGTTTTACATTGCTCACAATAATCTCATGTACTTCCTTCTTCTCATATACAAGGAAGAGACTCAAAGCCTTCAAACACACAAAAATTCTCACCAATTGGAAATTTAAAAATTAGGACTAGTAAAAACATTGGATCATAGTAAAATTTTTAAGGCCTAATGAAAAACATTAGGCGTATAATATTTTTTTCTTTAAGGTTTCCATTCAAGAAACATGGGTTGTCATGTAAATAAAGACATGTCATTGAGGTTAGTTTCATTTATCTTATTTTTCTATAAATATATTGTTTTATTTATTTATTTATTTTAAAAAAATTATGCAATATTAATTTTTTTTTAATTCATAATAATGTCTTTTATATTAAATAAATGAATTTATCAAAGTGAAAATGAATTAAATAGATATGACATCTTTTAATTTTTCAAATTTTTGAGAATATAAGCTGTGACAATTTAATATACATGAATGATTTTTCGTTACACATAAAGATAAATAGGATTAAGTCAAGTTAAAAAATAATAAATAAATAAATTAATGTTTTTTTTATAATAATTATGATAACAATAATTTTAGCGCTTGTTAAAATAAAATAAACACATTTGTTAAGTAAAAAGTTTGATTCTCATGATTAATTTGGATAAAATAAATATTTTTAAAATTACAAATAATTGTTTAATTAACTAAAAATAGTTATTTTTACAGTAAATATTATAAGATGTTAATACTTTCCATATACGTAATTAATTTCTAAACTCAAAATTTATTTTTACAGATCACTTTTTATTTTATATTTTTTTTAAAATAAATATTGATAATAAATTTATTTTTAATTTATTTTTATTGTTTCGTAACCACGAATAACAGAATATTAAGAGGAGTGTGCTCCTCTATATCATATATATATATTTTTCATCGTAAACATTTTATTTAAGTTAACTAAACTTTCCTTCAAATATTTAATACATAAAAAATACTAAAACTTATACCCATTGATTAAATTAAAAAACTGTCACACCAATTAATCTAGAGTCTGATTGGTTAATAGTGTAAAACTTTTTTTACATTAACGTGATTAACTCTAATATTTATATATAAATGAAACAACTCTTACCTCTTAATTAAATTAAGATTTGAAATTGAGGCAAACCGAGTCTAAAAAGACATTGAAAGAAAATTTGTTCCCCGATGGTTAAGGTGAAAGCTGTTTATCTGGATTGGGTCCATATGCCTCACAGCTTAGAGAATAGAATGTCCCATTTTTCAACGATCAAGGTTTGGGTCTGATTATTGGGAGACAGATCACAGATGCCATGCACTCAACATTTGACATTTATGCCTCTTTGCCCACGGATTTCAACCTCCCCACACACGCTTACACCCTAAACCTTTTTCATTGCATCCACATTAATCTCTTTTCTTTCTAACTTTTCATCTGTAACATGCATACATACATAGACATCACATTTTTTTAACCACTTCTAATACTAATACCCCATTACACTATTTATCCTTTACAATTAATTATTTTCTCTGTAAATAAAATTATTTACCTTTTTTATTTCAGAGAAAAAGCAAATATTTTTCCATACAATTAATCTCTAAGAACAGACAACCTTCTTTGACATTCAATGAAGTTTAATTTCGGTTGCGTGAACATATTTAATGTCAATTAATGCTACGAAATTATTACTTCAAGACTTTACTTTAGTTAGTAAAAACATTTACTTCCACGAATAGCTAAATATATTCGGTCATCTAAAATTAATTAATTCAATCATGGTGACCAATCAACAGTGATGATAGTAAATACAACTTTACTTTTTGCCTTTAATTAGGGAACTGTATTATATATTTTTGATAATAATTGAAGCTTAAAAATTCTTTATGGTCTTACCTCTTTAAAACAAGATGAAGAGTAACTAGAAAACGTTCTAAACACGTCAATGAATGAATGAAATTATATATAAAAAGGAAATGATAGAGTGGGGTTGAACAGAGATCCAGTCAATAGAAACACAATATCTTTCTCTCTCTTGTTGTAAGAAGGCACACTGTTACCAACTGTGGAACCTCACAGGTCTTAACCCTCTCAATGCTCTTTCTCATTTTCTCTTGTTCCTTTTTGCACTTTCGGGAATAAACTTCAACCTTTTCTTTCTTCTCAGGGTTTTGTCAGCTTCCATTTTCGTTTCAGTTTTCTGTCAGAGATGCTATCCTTATTTCTGTGGTCAGTATTAATTTCTTCCATTTTTATTACAATATGCCATTCATTTATCTCAGCTTTTTAATTTCATTTGTAGATATGACTATCATAGACTAAGGTGATTCCATTGTTATCATTTCTCATGTTTTGCTTTAGATTTGTTTTGTAGAACTTGTGTTCAAATTGGATTTGAACCATAGCTGATAAGCTTTCTAATTAAGTTGATTAAGAGTGTGATTAGATAAGCTAAGAATCACCTTTGATAACTTATTTACTATTTTTGATATAAAAAAAAGAAAAAAAAAAGTTCTCAAAATACTTTTAGTTTGCATCCTAACAGGCTATTCCGCTATTACTAAGTAGAACAATCAAATTCCTGTGTCCTAATTTAGTTTATTTCACCTCTAAACTTTGCCTTCAACTATGTTAGAAAGCTAAATCTAAGCTTCAATTTGATTTTCTATAGCTGAAAAATGAAATAGAAGCCTGAAATTAGAAGGATGAGTACAATTGAATAAACATGACTTCAATTTTTGATGAAAAAAAAAATGACTCTCTATGTTGTCTTTTTGGTAGAGAATAGAGATAGTGGTGTTGCATGAGCAAATGGGTAGAGGAAGAGGAAAGGGTAAAAAGTTAAGAGTTAGCAATGAGGAGGATCTGGATCTGATAAGTGGTGAGGAAGAAAAGGTTCCTCTGGCAAAAAGAAGAGGAAGGCCATCTCAAAAGGTGTTTAAGGATGATTTTGATGAAGAAGTTGTTGAGGAAATAGAAGAGGATGATTATAGTGGAGAGAAGGTAATTAAGAAAGTGGTGTCTAGTAATGGAAGGAAAAGAAGGAAAGAAAATTTGCAAGAGGTTGAGGAGAAAAGTGGAACAAAGTCAAAGAGTGATGAGTTGACAAAGTGTAACGGATATCGACACAGACGTAAAAGCAAACCCCGTCGAGCTGCAGAAGCTGGTGTGCAGTGGAAGCAAGACTACTGTGCTTGATTAGACTCATCTTGCCACCCATATCAATTATCAACAGCTACAATTACCAATTCATTTCATTTTTTTTATTTGTGCCTTTCTTTTTTTCTTTGCGGGTTTGAGCTTGAGGGCTTCATTTGATGATTCCTTCTCATTATTTTCTCTTTTTATTTCAAGCATGAATTGCGAAATTTCTTATGATATTTGCAAAAAAAATTTCTAATCATTCTATTCGTAGGAATATTCATAGGTTTTATTGTTATCATATCAAGTAGGAAATTGGTTAAGAATTTAAGTTATTGAAATTTCATACAGTTGAGTAATAATTATTTAATTTATTTTTTGTTAATAAACTGATGAATTAGAGAGATTTAAAATATTTTAAGGTAATGCATACAAAATTATAAAATTATGAATATCAATAAACATGGAACACATTAATTAGGAATTTAAATTTATATAATAAAAATAGTCTGAGATGATTTTACTACCATTCTTCATGTAAATCCTTCCAAACATTCATTCAATATTAGAAATTATTTAGTTAATTTAATAGCCCTCAAATATACCTTAATTTTTTAGACGAGAAATTATAAATTGTTTAAAAAAAATACAATTTTTTTGTCATTTTTATTAAACAACCTGTATTAAGGTGAAAGACTTAAAAATTAACTAATAAAACTTATTTTATTCTTAATAAATGTTATCAATGTTTTACTTAAATCGTAATTCTAAAAGAGCTTCTTAATCTCAAATAAAATTATAAAATCATTTAATGGTTAATAAGGTCATAACAAATATTAAGTAAAAAGTAAAAATAATTAACCAATTAAAGACATTTATTGAATGATGTTAGAATTGGTTTCTTTTGAGACTTTGTAGCTTTCAAGATTCATTTTCCATTCACACCTCAACAAAGAAATTACTAAAATTACCTAATACTAAACAGTTTCATTCTAAAAATAAAATTAGCTTTATTTGTGGTTTGTCAAAATTTTGAAATATAAGATATATTTAATAATTATTTCAATTAGATAAAAATTGTAGATATATTTAGCAATTATGATTTATTATTGTATAATTTTTGTTGAGAAATTTGATTCATCACTTTTAATAAAATTTACCTTCTTGACTTTTTTTTTATTATTTCTATATTTACACTCAAAGCTATGTTTAAAGATCCCAAATTTAGTTTTACTTAAACCAATAACTTGTTTGGTACCGCGAAGTCTATAGTTATTTTATACTGAAATATCATTTTTTTTTCCAATTTAAATCAATTTTATTTTTATATTATGATCATGTTTAAATCTTCATTTCCTTGTACTTACTGTCTGATAATGCTGGGATCTTAATTCCCAGAGGTTTGTAGTTTTGGGGCGTTTCCTGCCCACCTTCAATCATTAAAAAAAAAATAAAATCTTATCAACCGAATTATTAAAGAAACATTTTTAGTAATTAATTTGAAGAAGAAAAGGTAAAAACATGATTACGGTTACAATTAATATGGATCTACGTTATCTAAAGAGATGAGAGTTTATTTCAAAAGACAAAACTTAGTTGAGATTATAAATGATTATCGCAATCTCATATTTTTTTTTAATTTTTTTTTTAAAGAATTGACTATAAGTAGCGTGGCAAAATGGATTGGTATTTGTTTAGATTCACTTTATCATTGGCCAACAAAAAATAAAATAAGATAGATTGGATTGACCATCAAGTAAAAATGGATTCACTACAATAAAAATTGTTTTTAACGACAATTTTTTAATGGCAATAATTTAATTGCTGCTGTTTAATTATATAATAAAAATATTAATGGCTAATATATAATAGTCACTAAAAGTATATTTATATTACACTAAAGTTTACTATTAGCGATAATTATTTATTAAAAAAAACTAGTCTCACATCGATTAGAGATAAGATAATTAAATAGTATATAAGTGAGTAATAACTATCACCTTTTAAGTTGATTTATAGGGTTGAGTTAGACTCTTAATTCACTATAATAAATTAGTATCAAATCACCCACTATTACCAAGTTCAATAGTGTTATAAAACAATTAGAGAGCAACTTTCACCTTATAAATCTCACATCTCTTAAGAGATAAGACAATTAAAAAAATAAATTAAAAAATATATAAATAGAAGACAACCCTCATCTTACAAATCTCACATCGACTAGAGTAAAAAAAAGAGTATATAAGTTATGAATTTAGAAAAGAAAATTATAGGAATAAATTATTTAAAGTTTTACTAGCAAAAGATAAAAGTCACTAAATGGATGGAAAAGAGACAATTGAAAAAATAACTTTTAATAGCCTTTAAAATGGCTACTAAAATTGCCACTAAAAAAAATAAGTTTTTCCTACAATTTAGTAGGTCTTTACCAACATTTTATATAAATGCCGGTATTAGCGACACTGGATACACCATCCATTATTTAAATGTTGGTAAAAAAAATAATGACCATTTATATGGTCGCTCAAGAATAAATTAATTGCCACAAAAATCTAATTTTGGTGTAGTGATTAGACGTTCAGATATATTCCATCTAAGGGTAGGTTGGTGGGCCAACAGTTCAATCTGTCAAAAGGAATAAAAAAAAAAGAAAGTAAAAAAAAAGTTTTTATATTTATTTTGGGTAACTCTATCAATATTCATTTTTTTCTTAATATCTAAAAACTTCACATAAATTAGTATTTCTAAATAATAAAATAAATATCAAATTATAACAATTTTGATTTGATTTGTTACACAACAAATATCAAATTTGTTACATAATATATATATATATACATGTATTATATTATATTATTAATAATAATAGTAATAATAATTCTTCTAACAAATTTGTGACACAAAAAAATTTCAAATTACATATAATAAAATAAATATTTAATATGTTTTTAGTCCCTCAAATTTAAGGTAAGTTTATTTTTAATTCCTCAAATTTAAATATGATTTTTTAATTTTTATAATTTCAAAAAAATTTGTTTGTCTTTATATTTAAATTTTGTTAGAAAATATGTCAAATATTGTCGCATAAAATTTATCTATTAGTGTCTTTATTAATGAAAACATCATACTAAACCTAGTTGATACTGCATAACTATTTTAATTTGTCACTTTCACATATATTATTAGTGACTTGAGGAATTAAAACAAGATTTTATAAAAATTATAGGAACTAAAAACAATTTTAAATTTGAGAGACTAAAAAAGAATTTATTCTAAATTTGATAAATTAAAAACATATCATAATATTCTCATATCAAACTTAAAACTAGATATTAGTTATACAAAAATATTAAGATCATATAGTAAATTGTCAATAATATTTTAGTCAAATAATTTAAAATAATTAATATTTCAATTATATTTTCCGACGGATTCATATCCGTCGGAAATTGGCGTTTTTCTTCTAGTGTAAATTTAAGATAAATTTATTTTTCGTCCCTCAAATTTAAAATTGATATTTTTAGTCCTTGTAATTTTAAAAAAATTTATTTTAGTCTTTATGTTCAAATTTTGTTTAAAAAATTATCAAATATTATTACATAAAATCTACTTATTGGTGCCCTTGTTAGTGAAAATATAACATTAAATTCAATTGATATTGCATAATCGTCTTAATTTATTACTTTCAGATATGTTATTGGTGATCTGAGGGACTAAAATAAGATTTTTAAAAATTACAAAGGCTAAAAACAACAATTTTAAATTTGAGGAATCAAAAATAAATTTATCTTAAATTTGAGGATTAAAAACATATTTAAATTATGTATAAATCACTTTTGTCGCTTAGTCTTAATCGTTATTTTATTTTTGAATTTTGAATGTCAAAATGTCTCACACTGGTTAGGAGTAAAGGAAAAAAGAAAAGCTTATAAACATACTTCTCCCCTGATCTACAAAGACACTTTTAAAGAAAAAATTGTGAGATACACGAGGTTAAAGCCAGCAATATATCATGATTGGATTAGAGTTACTCACTATAGACACTCGCATTTTGTTCGACGAGAGATGTTTTGTTTACATAAATTATTCATAAATTGATTAAAAAACTTTTTTTTTATAAATTTGTGTTTTTCCACCAATTAATCAATTATATTTTTAACAATATTGATAATAAATATTAACCTTAGTTTTAAATTAGTTTTAAAATAATTAAAGTATAATATTTTTTTTGGAATTTGTAACATTGTAAGTTTGTTAAGTGTTGTTTTGTAGCAATAATTGTGAGGTGTTTCATGTATGTTGTGTGACTCTAAGAGTTGAGATATTCTTAGGAGTTTGGTCTGTTATGAAAGTCTCTAATCAGAGGTCTAGTTGACCTTGATGAGAGGTAATATATAAGGTTTCTGTTAAGAACTGTGTCTCATGAGTTCATGTTTTCCAAATTATAGAGAGATAAACTAAAGAGAAGCGCCATGGGGTTTGTGGATCCTTTTCTTCTCTAACTTTCTCTTGATTAGACAGTTCCTTTCCCCATAATCATTAATGTGTTTTGTGTGTTGTGATTCAGGTCTTGGTGAGCCGTGAATTAGAGTAATTGGTGTAGAGCTTTCATTGTTTGGAGCTAAAAGTTGTTTTCCCCCTTCTACCTCTTCTTCATTTTTGGTTTCTTTTAGTTGAGATAAGGAAAGTTAGGATGAATTGGTTGGTTGATTTGATGAATTGTTTGTTGTTGTTGTTGTTGTTGTTGTTTTCATCAAATGTGAGCATGTATGTGGCTGAAATTAGATTGAATGGTGAAGGATAAAAGTTCTTGGTGTTTTGAGCTATGGAGATGATTTTGGATGATTTTGAATAAACAGGGTTGCATTTTGTTATGTACGTAGCTTAGAAATGAGTTGTATGAAGTGTCTATACTTGTTTGCTGTTGTTGCATGCTTGATTGTGTTGTTTTCCAGGTCTTAGGGGTGATTTTCATGATATGCATTGTGCAGATTTTGATATCGCGCTAGGCACGCCTTCATGGTGTCGAGTGTGCCTTCAAATAAGGGTCTTTATTTTGCTCACCCTTGATGTAGGATCAATGGTGTTGGGTGTGAAAAGAGAGACTCATCTCGGGTTGAAGTTGTGTCGAGCGTGGTTTGAATAATGTCGAACAAGAAGGGAGAGAGAATTGCCTCTGTTTGGATTAGCCTCATGTGCCAAAGGCATGGTGCCAAGTATGAGAAAAAGAATCATCTTGGGTTGGTGTGGGGCTAGACATGGGATTTTGTCACACTAAGCGTGAG